TCAGTGAATTGCACTATCCAATGATTAGTTCATATAATGTGATTTCCCTGGAGAGGGTCGTCCAAGAGTAGTTTTTCTTTTTTTCCTGGCTGACGTTGCGACAACCTAAGCGGAAGTCATCTTAAGCCAAAAGTAGTTTGATGGTCGATAGTGATAAGTATAGCACGTTGGAGCCAATTGTTCTGTTTAAGTAAGGTTCCTCTTATCTTAGTTAAAAGCAGAGTTGTGGCAACTTTCACTCTGTCTATTGCCAGTCAAATTAGATCATACAGTTCGAGGTTCGCTCTTTGGTTTTATTCATGTCATGAAAAAGTCATTGGTGCCATTATCTCCGGAAATCTCCGTTGGTATACGAGCTTCCTAAAAGTAATAGTTAAAAGACCTTAGTCACGGTACTTTGACTTATTATGGCCACATAATTGGAACACTTGAAATAGTAGATTACTAGAATACAGAAACATCAAAGCGATATTAATGAATCATAAAGCAACAAGGATGGTACGTGTACGTTATGGATGGAGAAGATTAAGACGGATTACAAAGGACAAACTTGAAAAATGTAGGCTAAACTTTTCAAGATGGGGAAACCCTGACGTAGCTCCTTTAAAAATAAGTTAGTTGTACTGTTGATAAAACATGAGGCAGAATCCCAGCAAATTCTTTGTTTTTTTTAAGTTAATTCTCTCAGTGATGAGCTAGTCAAGCTCAGCATTTCTCTTCAGCTGCTTCTATTTACATCGGTAGTGATAAATATCACTGATAAATATTTCTCGACCACAACCAATACACGTTACTGGGACTCTGCTGAATGCCTCAAAACGTACGATGCAATAAATGACTGACTCTGGAAAGCTGGTGAACCAAGCGCCTCTCGGTAGATAATAGGAACACAGAAATCTTACTAACGACGTATTTTTCATGACATGAACAAATAGAGACAAATACACTTGAAAGAAAACGACTTTACTTGGCTGACAACAAAAGCATCGGAACCTCCATTTACCTTTTAAGCCGTAAATAATCAATCGCCCAGTGAGCAAAGGTAACGTCCGTGTATAAGCCAAGTGGCCCATCGGGCCGGCATTTATCTCCGGTAACAGTGGAAGTATTTCTACTCCCCCTGGATGCGATTCCAGTCCATCGCGGGGTTAGCTCCCACCATTGACTTGTCGGTACCCAGTTATACACCTGGGTGGAGAGAGGTACTGTAAGAGCCGGGAAATGTCTTTCCCAAGAACAAACACAATGTCCCTGGCTAGGACTTTAACCCGGACCGCTTGATCCAGAGGCGAACGCACCAACCACGAGGTCAACAAACCTAGTCACGGCCTTTTTCAAACATCCTGGGAAACATCAGGTATGTTTGATGTTTGACAACGTTAACACAGAGACTCCCCTTTCTGAATTTTCTTTTACTGGTGCCATTAGAGTCATGCAGGAGGTCAACGTCAGTTTCAGGAGCTGAAAGCCACCAAATGGCCATTTCAGACACAGTTTCACTGGAAAATATTATTGTACCAAAACATTGGGGACGACTTGAAATAACTAGTCTAGTTTAACTGCGTCTTTGCAGCCACGTTTACTTTGAGGGTAAGCTGGTTTTACCAAAAAAAACCTACCCACCGAACCGCTCGATCCAGAATACAGTCCAGCGCACTAACCAATATGCAAAACTACAGAGCCCCTATTTAAAACGTTTTCCAGAAACATACAGCCATCGTTTAACCCAATTAGTGAGAGTTGTTCCCGTAATTAAATCTCAAACGTACAGCTTACTGTTTTAATTGAGTATTCTCTGATACTTTTAACAGGGGTTTGAGTAACAATGATATTACAATTCTACCTGACGGAGTGTTTGCTAACTTGACGAGACTGCAAAGCCTGTAAGTAGAATGAGAGATTAATGAAATACTGTAAGGTTGGCAATAATCTTGCAAGCAAAAGTTTCTTCCCATCCCATAAAGGGAACATAAAGATCAACGGGAGGCAAAAGAATAACTTAATTTATCCCTTGGACGTACAACCTAAAAAATACCCCCACCGTGGTACAAGGGGG